CCACCAACGCGGCTGTCAGCAAGTACTACATCCACGACGTCTCCGACCTCATCGATGTAAGTGCTCCCTGCCCTGTGCCCATCCAGCCTGGCTGGGCCCTTGGCTGCCCTCCCCTGTGGTGGTGGTGAAGGGGTGTCTGTGGGGGCTTCAAAATGAGCTTCACTGAGGCTGAAGATGTGCTGTGAATTCGATTTGCCTTGGGGTGAGTCAGGTGAGCCTGAGGTTTCCTCCCAACCCATCGCTTAGTCCATACTTGGGGCAGAGAAATGCTTACCAAGGTCAGACACAGCCTTGGTTGTGGTGCTGAAACAAAAGGGTTTTTTCTTTCTACTATTTGGTGTCTTTCGTGGCAGCTCAGTGCCTGTTTGGCAGCTCAGTGCCTGTGGAAGTGCTGTCCTGGCTGGGGAAGGTACATGTGGAGCTCTGTCCCAGTGCTCAGTGCAGGCAATAGCCTCGGGGCAGGAACTGCTGGAGGCAGGATTTGTGCTGATGGCAGGAACTGTGCGTGTGTCAGTGACTCCTACAAACTGCTTTGAGATGATTCAAGGGAAGGGATTTACCCAGGGAAGGGATTCCTGTTTCTTCCTTTAATGGGCATCCCACCGTGTATAGATCACACGATGCAGTTCCTTCCTGCTGGAGTCGCCTCAGTGAGCACAGAAATAGCTGAGCTATAAGCAGGGAGTTACCATCACTACCTAAATGTATAATTTTCAAAGGTGCTGCAGTGTTTATCTCCTTTCCTAACCCACTAACATGTGCTTATTCTTCTGAGAATTAATTAAAGTAAGTCTGGTGCAAAGCCCCCGATGACTTCAAGGTTTTGAGAGATGATAAAATATCCTTAATATGTCCCTTTTGTTCTCTTTATAATTTAAGATGTATTAAAAAAGCTAATAACTTGATGGTGCAGACATTTGAATGGCAAGGTGTGATAACACCTTCATTTATCTGTGGGCTTTCTGCTCTCACTGTGTATATTCTCTCGCGCGTTTTTTATTTTTAAGCAAGAATGACTTATTTTCATGGAGTGTTTGGGACTTTGGTTTCCTGGAGAGTTGCTGAGTTCCATTTTAGCTCTGGCTGTTTATATTATTCCTCCCAACTTTATTTCCTCGCTGACACTTCCACTGGAGTCAGCAGATGGCTTTTCTCCCGCACTCCAGGAATCCCTTCGGGGACTTTAGCTCAAGCATCTCCAACTCGGAGCAGTGAAATTCCCCTGATTATAAATTCTGTTCACCAAAGAAGCAGAATATTGGATGTGTGAGCTGCACATGGGTGTCCTAATTCTAAATTCCCAAAGGAAGAGCAGTTTATCAGAATGGGCTTTGGTACTAAGTCAGTGTATTTTGCAAGGAGGTGGCAAAAAGGGTTTCAGCAGCTCCAGAAGGGGATCCCAGTTATGGGGTCCCTGTCCCTGGGTCTCCCTAGGGCTGAAGGGAGTCTGTGCAGGGCAGCTGAGCCCCCAGAGGGAGCAGGTCAGTGGGAAGAGAACAGAGCTTGGGTCAGCTCAGAGCCTGGTTGTCCATGCCCTGATGGATTCCATGTGCCCGTGCACTGCCATTAGCAAACCCTGCTGGCTCCCTCACCCTGTCACTGTGGGAGGGTGATGAAGGATGCACCTTTCCAGGCCAGGAAAGGGTTTGGGGAATCTCTCCCACACTCTCCATCTCCAGCACAAATTGCCATGTGCGGCTGTTGATTTCACGCAAATCCGAACCATCAGGACCCTGCAGCAGCCAATTTAGCAGCGTTTCCCCCAGTTCCCAGCTGGCTCCGTGTCATCCCTGTGCCCTGGGTGTCAGCACGGGCAGTGCCTGTGTGACAAAGCTCTGCTCTAATCGCCTGCCCTGGCGAGGCAGAGGGTCCCAGCTGCTCCGGGGAGGGGGAAGGCCTCCCAGGGCTGTGCTTTAATGAGAACTCCAAAGCCCATCAGAGGAGCCGTGGAGGGACGCAGAGCCTTCTGTCCCTCTGTCTCCTGTGGCCTCGTTGCTTTGTCCTTTAGAAAGGAAGAGAACAGAGAGGATCAAATTAGCCCAGGGCTGGCAGTGCCCCACGGTGCTCGCCCCGCGCCGCGCGTGTGTCTGTCTAAACGCCTGGGCTCGTCATTAACTGTGTGACCAAGTTAATCTCTTTGGCCACGTATGTGAAGTGGAGATAAAGCTGCTTATCCCTCCCTCTGGAGTTCTGTGGGAAATGGCTGCAAGGTAGTTTGGAGTGGTCACATGAAAGATATCGCTAGATTCGGCAGAGAAAATGGGACAATGTCCATCCGAACGGATCCGCAGCTTGTGCAGCCTCCCCGGAGTCCCTCTGGAGCAGCAGCTTGCTTCCCTGTGGATTAGTGTTTGCTGTGTCTGAGACAAACAGGGAAAGGAGGGCAACCAAGGGATTTAATGGTACACATTGCTGCCAAATTGTTTGGTCCCTGGAAAAATTAGCTGAGTCAAGTTAGGGAACACAAACAGCAGTTGAAATAGTTATGCCAAAAATCTTCAGTTGGCTTTACTGGTTTGGTTGGATGGGGCAGGGAGCAACCTAGGATAGGGGAAGGTGTCCCTGCCTGTGGCAGGAGGCTGGAACTGGATGGGCTTTGAGGTCTTCAAGGTCTCTCCCAAGTCAAACCATTCTGGGATTTACTTGCCTCACTGTAAAGCTCTGAGATTTTCAGCAACATCAAGAGAGAAGAGACCATAAATTATAATATACATATAATTATTACATATTATGCATATAATTAAACAATGATGCAGAATATTTGTTAAAGAAAGAGTAGAGAAAAGTCAGGGAAGGGGGAACAGAGCATACAGAAGAGCAGAGCTGTGTGTTTGCAGCTGGTGCTGGGTCCTGTGTGGGGTGAGGGGTTAGGCTGCTCTCTGGGGTGAAGAGGTTGGGAGAGCATTTCCTCACTGCCCCCAGAGCAGCTCTGGGGTTGGCAGTGGGAGACACACAGGTACTTTACTGCATCCACTGCATTTTTGGCCAAGCCCTCTGTCCTGAGCTCCGGGAGCCATTTGTTTCTCAGGCTGAACTCTGGGATGTTTCCACCCCTGGCAGGGTGTTACAGCCGTAATGAATTAATGCTCGGGGAGCTCTGGGCTCAGCAGATGAAAGGAGCTGCAGAAGGGCTGGGGATTATTATTTGTGGTTCTAATTTATTTGCCATCAAAGGGATGAGAGGGGTGAGAAAATGCCATTTGTTCTGGGGCTGGGAGCAGCAGTTTGAAGTCTTTTTTATTTCTGTCTTTTTCTGTTCCCCTCCCCATTGTGTGTTCCTCTGGGAATTGTGTGGAAGTCCCTGCCCTGTCCTTTCTTCTCTGGGCACCCGTGTGTGAAGCAGCCGGCGTGGTGCTGATCACCAGAGACTTCAAGGGCCTCAGCGTGTGTGGGAAGTGCCTGCCCTGGTTTTCAGGAGCAGTTTCTGGGCAGTGCAAATCACCACTGGCTCCAGCATGAGTTCAGAAGCAAAGGGAAGAGAAGATTTCATATAGATTTTTTTTCCCAAAAGCATCCGGCAGTGCCCTGAGCCCTTCTCCTTGGGTTCTGTGGTGTTCAGGGATTTGCCTTTGTAATGGCTCTGGTTTGTGTGCTTTGGGAATTCCCACCCTCGAACAGGGACACATTTCCTCCTGGTACTGCTCCTTGTAGCCAAGTAACTGTGATTTCAGGGGTGGGAGAACCCTGGTGAAGGCTGGGAGGTGCTGGGGAATGCAGGGTCCCATTCTCCAGGCACAGGACTGTGGTCAGTGGGTTGTGGCAGGAGAACTGTTCCTCCCTGGTCCTCTCCTGATGCTGGCTGGGGTCCTGACCCTGAATCTGCCCATCTGCGTGGCAGCCCCTTGGCTACATCGTCCTGACTCAGGAGTTTCTGTATAATCCAGGGCAGTCATCTGGATGTTCATGCTGAAACTGCCTGGCACGAGAGACACAGCACAGAATGAGGTTTTGCCACAGGTGGTGAATGGAAATTTGCCCCTTTGCCTCCTTTTTGTGTTGCTTGTTTTAAGTCAGGGCCATACCAGTCCATAGCTGCCCACACTCTCAGCTAATACCATTAGAAGCTAAGTGGAAGCAGCGTGAATGGAAGCTTGTGGCAATTCAGTAGTTTCTACAAAACTCCTCATCATTGCATGTGGGATTTCACAGCTTTTAAGGACTAGAAGGGGGCAGGGAGGCTGGCTGGGGTGGGAATCAGGAATTGGCTCAATGTGGCTTTGCTGCTGCTCTTAGCAGAGACTGAGCCAAGCCAAGTCCTGCTGTGACATGATCCGAGCTGAGCGGTGTCTCCTCACATCGGGACAGAGCCCCAGATGCCTTCTTGGGTTGGAACTGCTTGTGGCACCAGCTGAGTTTTCAGATTTCACTTCGAGTTTATCAATATGAATTTCAGGATGAATTTCTTTACTGGAAGAGTTGTCAAGCATAGGAACAGGCTGCCCAGGGAGGTGGTGGAGTCACTGTCCCTGGAGGTGCTCAAGGAACGACTGAACGTGGCACTTAGTCCTCTGGTCTAATTGACAAAGTGGTGATGGGTCACAGGTTGGACTCGATGATCTTAGAGGTCATTTCCCACCTAAATGATTCTGTGAATACTGATGTTCTGGTGCAGAATCGCTTTCTGTGCCTTTCTGCATCAGTTTGGTAACATCTATGGATGCTGCAGAGCTGGAGAAGGTACCTTTGGAATGCCAGCTCCCAGGAGGGAGTTCTGCCACTGCTGAGAAGTTGGGCTTGTTTGAGTCACTGAGATTACACCAGCAATCCTGCTCCTCTCTCCTCTGCTGGTGCTGGTGCTCCTGGCAGTGCTTGAGCTAGGACTACACTGTGTGGTAGCAAAGCACCCTAACTTCTGCAATAGAAATTGTCCTGTGGCAGTTTTCATGTGATAGGAGTGATTTGCTGGCAGTGGTTAGTTTTTGCAGCTGTATTTGAGGTGTTTCTGACATAATTACTTAACTTCACGTCCTCTGTCAGGAGCTCCATCCCTCTTTTATGTCCCAGAAACAGCTGTGCTTCAGTTTTGGACTGCAGCCCTTCTGTTTCACTGTGCTCTCCTTGCAGCCCTGCGAGTGTGGCTCAGGCTGAGGCCAATTCTCCTGCTTCCAGCATCCTCTGTCTTGCCTTTCCCTGCAGAATATCATCTGTTGACCTCCAGGTTTGGGGTGGTGCCTCAGTGCTGTCCTTGTCCCCCTCCCAAGGTCTCCCACTCACTGCTGGTGGGCACAGAGACCTGCAGAGCCCTGTGCTGGATCAGGCTCCTGGAGGGGAGTGGAGCAGGGCTGCCAGGAGCTGCTTCTTGCTCAGCTCTGAGCAGCAAATCCCTGTGCTGGTATGACACTTACCCTGCCAAACTCAATTATAGTGAGGAGAGAGTTTAAACCAGGCTTTCGTCTAAGGTACAGTATTTTGGGAGCAATTAGCTCTGAGTTTTATCCTTTTCCCCAAGGTGGGCAGGAGAGTGATCAGTGATGCATGAGGAGCTGCTCTGTGGTGGGAGGCAGGTGGTGCTCCCAGGGAGGGAGCAGGGTGTGCACACACTGATGGGCACAGTGCCCAGTGCCACCTTGCTTCAACATCTGTGTTTGAGAACTTTGGGAAGTGGTTTGGGAGCGTTGGTGTGACCAGACCCTGCCTTGCTGTTTCTCAGTGCTGTGACCTGGGATTCCATGCCAGCCTGGCTCGGACCTTCAGGACATACCTGTCTGCTGAGTACAACCTGGAAACCTCTCGCCACGAGGGCCTGGACATCATCGAGAACGCCGTGGACAACCTGGACGCACGGAGCGACAAGCACACCATCATGGACATGTGCAACCAGGTTTTCTGCCCACCACTGAAGTTTGAGTTCCAGCCACACATGGGGGACGAGGTAACCTGCTCACACCTGTGGGGCTGCAGAGGGGCCTGGCCTGGGTTCCCCCTCCTCTAAACTGTCGCTGAAATTGTTCCTGACTCCTTCCCCCTCCATGCTGCCTTCACATGCTGCTGTCCATGTTTCCTTTCCTAATGAGACTCTTGGCTCATTAGGACTCTTCCTTTCAGGCTGCCTCTTGCTCCGTGCCTCTCCCAATTAGGGAGCCTGTGGTTTGGCTCTCTCTGCCCCACAGATCTGCACATTGGAGCTTTGATTTACCTGCTGTAATTGGGAGATTGCAGAGTGCTGGGTGGAAAACGCTCAGTGCTGGCCCAGGTCCAGGGCACTGCTGATGGGAAACAGGGTGACACAGCCTCATGGAGGCTGCCAGGAGTTTGTGGGGGCTGGAGGGAATCACGTGGGTATGGAAGTGTCTGGTGCATGCATGACCCAGTGAGTGTCTCCTGCGCCAGGTGTGCCAGGTGAGCGCCCAGCAGCCCGTGCAGACCGAGCTGCTGATGAGGTACCACCAGCTACAGTCCCGACTGGCCACCCTCAGGATAGAGAATGAAGAGGTAAGGGGTTGCCCTGGGTCTTGTGTTTTTCCTCCCAGGCAGCACTGCTGAGCCTTTGCCTGCCACTCTGGGGCTGTCCTAGTGTGCTCAGGTGTGATTTCACCAGTGTTGGTGCTGGGAGCACCCATGGACTGCAGCCAGTACAGGCTCAGGAGCTGCCTGTTTGGCTCAAGATGTGTCACTTTGACAGTCTGGCCCAAGCCCACGCTGTTCCTCGTTGCTGCTAGGTGCGGAAAACGCTGGATGCCACGATGCAGACCCTGCAGGACATGCTGACAGTGGAAGATTTTGATGTGTCCGACGCCTTCCAGCACAGCCGCTCCACTGAGTCGGTCAAATCAGCTGCCTCAGAGACCTACATGAGCAAAATCAACATCGCCAAGAGGAGAGCCAACCAGCAGGAGACCGAAATGTTCTACTTCACAGTGAGTCCCAGCTCAGGCTGTACAGGACACGAAGCATTAATTGCCAGGGCTGAGGCCCAGTTAAGTGCTCATTAGTGGAGAGCAAGAACCAATTCAGTCTCTTTAAGTACTTGTCTTCTGTCAGATTTGGGTCTGGAATGCATTTCAAGTGCATTTCTTTGGCAGGGAATCACACAGGGACTGACAATCCAGTGCCTGCCTCGCTCTTCTCTTTTGAAGGAACAACTGGAGCAACCAGTTGTGACTGAAAACTTATCAAGCCTGGTAGAAGATGCTCAGAGCAGGGCACAGACTCTGTCTGGCCTTGCCATGTGTCATCATCCAGGGACTCTTCCTGAAGGCTTTTAGGACTCTTTGGCCTACACAGCTGAAATTTGCCCTTGGCCCAGGGATGAGCTGAAGCTACTCAGGTCCCAAGGAAGTCATGAGGGCTGGGCTGGCACCAGGCTGTGGTGGTGTGTGTGCCTGGCCTGCAGCCTGCTCCCCTGCTGCACTCCCAGTCAGGGCTGAGGGTTCTGTTTTGG